GTGTGTGTTTTTGTGTGTGTGTATCTTCAGTGTTTTGTTTTTTTTAACGTATGTTAATCCGACCAGTCGTTCTCCTCCAACTCGGAGTCGTCCTCGGAGTCGGAGTATTCCACAGCGATGCGTCGCGACAGGATGGTGGCCACGTCATTTCCGACCGGCTCCCTCTTAGCCTGCTGCTCCTGCTGCTCCTGCACCTTCTTCAACTGGATGCCTGTGGGGAAATTATGGGATGTAAAGCCGGGTTTTTATCTGACACAGTGGCTCTTAAATACAGTGTAGAGATCATCAAAGTACCTTTATTTTAGTGTAATTTCCTTCATTACAGATTCATTTCTTGATGAAATCAGAAGAAACAAAAGCCGACCACTCTGTATTGCAGCATCTTTGTTTAAATATCGAGCATGGGAACTGTAAGTTTACATTCCTAATTTTAGAGTAAATTAGATATAACAAATTCATACATATAAGTAAGGCGTGTGTGACTGCTCCCTAGGTCTACTTTGTCCTACTGAAGTTATGAATACATGAGGTTCTGCAATGTAATGGATGGTTATAATTGACAGTTAAGTTATTGTCACCTTAGATTTTGTGGCTTACATAATAGGTTTAAACTGGACTTGTTTAAAACATGCCTGATCCATCACTGTTTCAGATACCAGAGATAACAAGAGGGCTGTCTTTGGTGTAACATTCTTAAGACATACAGGCAAAATATAAAAGTATATTTTTAAATGTTCACTTAATTATAGTGCTCGAGATCTTGGCCATTTCCTGTCATATCAAGAAAAATTCCCAATTAAATGTAGGTCACAAACATTTGTTTATAGCTAATTTTTAATTGTCTTTTCTAATGATTTCTAATTATATTGTTTGAGATTTTACAAAAATTCGATGTCAGGCTAAACATCAATATTAATCTGTATTCATATTTCTTTCTTTTTTAATCAATACTGTGCCTATAAAAAGTGTTCATCCTCTTACAAGTTTGTAATGAATTTAGATCATTTGCAGATCTGTGATCACCTAAAGGGTCTTTTTCTGTTGCCACATTAACGTTTCCAAAGGGGTGAATACTTTTTAAGTATAAGTGTTTATGTATATGTCAGTTCTAGTACTTTTTTTATTATAGGTTATTTTAAAGGTAATACTTATGCATATTGTTAAGATACACATATACATTAACATGACACATATTTCTGGGCACACATACACACAGTACAGCTCTTACCCATACGTATAGCAGCCAGCAGATCACTGCGGGCATCATTGACCACTGTGGTCTCAGCAGGGGCAGAGGAGGACATCTTGTGGACTGTAAAGTGGGAGGCACCAGCTGGAAGGGGAGGAGGTGGAGGACCAGGGGGAGGTGGAGCTGCATGGGCTCCTGATACAGGTGGCGGAGGCGGAGCGTAGCCACCAGCGCCGCCCATTTGTCCAGGAGGCATCGGACCTCCGGGAGGTGAGGCAAAGGCAGTTTGAGCAGAAGGGATGAGAGGGGCTGGAGGCGGGGGAGGGGGACCAGTGTTGGCATAGCCATCCATACTGCAAAATAGAGAGAATGAAAGAGAATTAACAGAGTTATGAAAAATGACAGCAGTCTGTACTTGCTATCACACCTGCAGTCATTGGGGTTTGAGAAAGACAGAGACCCACTAGGTGGCAGCATTAGCTCAAAGTTATAAGAGTGGATCAAGTTCAAATGGTAAGGGACACTTAGAAAATGTGATTTGATTTAGAAAGAAGGATAATTGTAATTGTAAGACATTGTAACCCCTTCTCCAACCCCAAACTAGCTGCTATTGTATATGTATTGTTTGTGATGATTATTTTAATATGTCTACATGTCATGTTTTGTTGCTTACTGTCAGCAAAGATTCTGAAAATTATACATAAACAACACAGAAACTTCAGATAATTTAGCTACTTCTGCAGAATATATGAAAGCATGTATCAAATAATGATATGTATATGAATCAAGATGTAAGTGACAGTGTGGACAAAGCTTGAAATACAACATTAAGAGAATGTGAAAAGTGTGTGTCCCATTGACTCTAGCTTTCACGTTTACCTGTAGTCCATTGGTGGAAGGGACATGGAGCCACCGTTCATAGCCTCAGTGGGTGGAGGAGGCAGTGGGACTTGGTGGTGGTGAGAGCGGCCCAGTGTCCCACCCTGATAGGCCATCATACTCCTGCCTCTACTGTCATGTTCACCTCCCCCACGGTGGCCGTGCCCTGCAGCCATCTGAGCAGCCAGGATGCTGGGCGGTGGGCCAGAGTAGGTGTGGGCGTGGCCGGCGTGGTTCATGGAGTTGGGGTAGTGGTGCTGATCAGGACCGGGGCCCCTGAAGAAAGTGGGTGAAACAGAAAACAATAAAAATGCAGAAATAATACCTCACATTTCTCCAACTTGCGACTGAAATTATGGAACCATATAATGTTTCTTTGGATAAGTGATGTACCTGTTCTCTGGTGACATTGAGCCCTCAGAGGAAGCTCCTCTGTCTCGGTGTATGGTGTGTCGATGGTCTGGCCTCAGCTCTTTATCCAGAGCCAGCATGTTCCACTCCTGCCGACGGTTCCTCGCCTTTCGGACCTTCTTCACCTCTCTCTGTAACGTCCCATCCACACAACGCCTCTGCTCCTAAGAGAAAGAGAGAGAAAGAGATTAGAAAGATATTGTGGCATGTACAGTGTTTAAATCAGTGGTCAACCAATATGGGTTTTTCCATAGCCGATGCCAATGCCGATATTTAGAGAGCAAGGCTGCTGATGGGCAATAACAAAACGTAAAATGTATAATTTATTGTGTTCTAAAATCTGGATAAAAAGTTGCACTACATTAGACAGAATGGCTCCGAGCCAGACGCTGGCAGGCAAGTAAACTCTTAAAAATTGACCAAAACAAACTAATGGTATATAAAACAATAGCATTATCTGTGAGATCCTCAAGGACATAGTTGTACCTTCTGCTTCCTCTTCTCTTTCCTCTTATCCTCCGTGTCCTGCAGCATCTTTTCCTTCCACAGGTCGAAGAAGTAGGAGGGATCGGTGTAGAACTTAAGTGCTTCCTTGTGGTCATCCCTAAAGAAACATATAGCAAGGTTATACAGGTGCAAGTAGAGTAAATGCATTGTCTTTGTTCAGGCAGAATGACAAGACAAGAAAAAAGGGTAGTATTTTTTGCCTCAGTGTGTCTCTTTCAGAAGACTAAGTTGGGTATAAAACATGTGAAGCTATGAATATTGCAAAAGTGGAGGAGGCTGATGGAAGAACAAGGGTGAAATTATGCTGCATTTATATCACAGAGACAGCATAACTGGAAACGACAGGATGAACCAGTGAAAAGGGAGAGAGACAGAAAGACTGGAGACAGAGAGAGGAAAGTGTGCTATGTAGTCAGGGTTAGGAGTTGGATTCCCACTGGAACCAGCCATGCTAAATATGTAATGCACCCAAAGTACTGGAAAGCACAGCGGATAAAAGCAGCTACCAAATAGCGGTAGGAAATAGTACCAAAATGTGCTGTGTCACTGTCAATGTAGGTCAGAAACAAGCAGCCAAAATCAAATCAAGAAGAGTGGATGACTTTAAGTATTACCGTCAAAGTTATAAAGTAGAACACATGGTTTCAATTTGAAATGTAAGCTGATTAATCCGTCTGATCCAATTGTTATTTTATTTTTCACATCGTAAAACTGCTTTGTGTTAAAAAAAAACACACATGTTAAAACTGTCCATGTTTGAAGACTGCACTAAGCAAAAGAGGCTCTTGAAGTGACGTATACGTTCTAGAAAATATGGCTGTGATGATGCTTTATGAGTACGCTGGAGGTCTGAGTGTTTGGTGAGTGTGTGTGCATCAACAACGCTGACCTGTAAGTTGAGAGGATGTTGAGTGGCGGAGGCTTGTCACTCAGATTGTACATCTCTCGCACAGGATTTGGCACGCTGCTCTTGGACACCACCTGCTGGTCCTGGATGGTGGAGCTCTTGAAGGCTTTCCTCATGTTGATGTCTTGTAGGGAAACTGAGAACATAAAAAGAGGAAGAGGGGACAAATGAGTGGTCTGCTGGAAGGAGGAAGAAGAAACAAACAAACAAATAAACAATGGACAATGATTTCCTGTGCTTTTCCCCTCAGACCTCTAACACCTGACCCACCTTCTTCTACGGTGGAGTCCAGCTGTGTGACCTTGACGGCCAGCCGGTCAATGCGGTCCTGCAGAGAGTTGGCACGCAGATAAAAGGTGTTGGCCTCGTTAAACAGCTCGCCAAATATGTCTTCCGCATGTTTACCTTGAAGGGAACAGCAGAAAGAGACAGACAGGGGAAATTTGAGAGAAAGAAGGAGACTTGTAATCATTATCTGGAGCCGAGTAAATCCCCACAGAGACTGAAGTCCAATCAATACAAAAGGTAATGTGACACAATGTGAAGTCTTGAGAGTCTGTGCGGGAAATGGCATCTCATACAGCTCCATATAGCAACATTCCTCATTAATAATTTAAGCTGAACCGACTGCAGAAATCGTGTTACACGTACATCATACTCCCATTATTCTAGTGTTAGTGTTCAGTAGGTAAAAGTAGATTATGGATGAGATTCACACTCCTAAACCTGTTTTTACAAGAAGAAAAGGAGTAACTACACATTTGTATTTATATTTATGAACCCATGCCAACCCTCCAGATGACTCAAAGACCAAAGAAAGACTCAAAGGTTGTAATGTATTGGAGCTGGGGAAGATTCAAATCTATGCAAATATCCTCTGATATACAGCAGTTTCATGCTTGTTCAAATTTCCAGTCAAGTACATGTCAGTTCTGGGCCTGAAATGGATTCTATTCATATAATACATGGTGTGAATGGGAGTTTAGCCCCTGGGTAAAGATTAACAGTTTGTAAAGAAGAGCCTTACATTAACACCAGACTGGATCACAGCAATTTTTAACATTTGGTTGGATGACGAACATTTAGTTTTTTGTTTCTAACCCCAATTCAAACTTTGTTCTTACCGTGTTTTGGAGATTAACCCTGAAATGTAAGGATGACCCTTCTCTGGAATTTGGTTTAGTAAGTAAGGGACTGTTAACTCGATGGAGACCTAAACTCTAGGCTGTGGGGGTCTTAACCCCTTAGGGCTAATGAGTGTAAAAGCCTTTTTAAAAGGGCAGTACTTAAATGAAAAGACCAGGATGAAAACAAATTCCTCCCCTGGATGTCAACAGGTTAAAAGCTGCTCTAATGACATTGTTTAATTATAGAACACCATGTAAAAAGGCGGTATGGCAAACCCTCACAAACACACGTTAAGGGCTATTTGTGGCCCCCCTGCTGACAGGATGGGCTGCAGGAAAAACATTTAGAGGAAGGAAGAATCACAGATCCGGCATGCTGAGCCCAGTCAACTCTGACCTCGCCTGAGGATTCTTAGAGTCCACTTTACACACAGACATGTGCACACAGACATGCACAGTGTATGTAGTCTGTAGATACACCCTTCCAGGCCTGTGTGGACATTTATATATAGCTCCCACAGCTGCTGCTGAAAGGCCCACTCCCAGCGCAGGAACTTGACACAATAAGAGACAGACAGAGAATGGATATAACTGGGTCAACAAGTGAAGGGTTAACAGCAAGAAACACTGTTTACATTCATGAATGACCTCTCAACACACTGGTGAGAGGTCATGAAACAAGGACACGGGCCTGGAGGATGGAAGGGAAGATAGATGCCCTTGATACTGTAATAACTCTGTGTAATACATTTACAGTGAACATAACAATCAATATAAAACGGCAATGCACACAAACACAGTTAACACATACCCATCCAGTCATGCATACAAAAGCACACTGAAACACACACACACACAGACGCGTCTATCCGAACACAGCTGTCCAGATGAGTTCATTTTTGCAGAGCTATCTAAAAGGATTACATTTCAAGCGTCCATGTTCCAGTGCGAGGCCGCTGTAAGTCTGCTGCGAGCACAGTGACCCCAGGCCCCGTAACCATGACAACCCCAAATCAATCACAGCTTCGGGATTAATGATGAAAGCATGTGATCCTGCCACAAAGAGGCTACACACAGTGTATACAGTTGTCATACTGGAGTTAGTGGGGTTATAGCCCGGAGGACGCTGTAGTTTCAATCTGTTTATAATCTGTTATAACCCTCTGTTTCTGTTTTTTCTCTAAAGTTGAGGCTTTTAGCAGTGATTATTCTTCTTCCAAAGCGCGACATTGTGTGCTTGTGTTTGTCTATGTGAGTGTGAGTGTGTCTCTTACTCAGGCTGCTGAGCTGACGGATGATGGCAGAGAGCGTGTTGTTCATCACACACTCCAGCTCACTGCCAATGCCCTCGGGGAGCTCCCCTCGGCAGAGGTGACGAGGCTCGATGTTCCTCTTCACCAGCGGCATGGCGAGGCCTCACACCGACACAAACTGCAAGGACACATTGGGAACAAGAACACACTGTTTCAGACACCGGTAGCCTGGTTAGAGAGACTGTCTGTGATACAGAAACCAGCAGATGTTAGCCAACTGCATCCGACCCACTGCACAGGTGAACACACCTGCCATGAATCATTTGTTCCATAAAGTGTCAAAAATAAAAATGGCCATTGAATTGGCTGTTTAGTCCGTAAAGGTCACCCAAAGATATTCAATATTTATATTTGAGAAGAGTACGTTTTCTGTTGATCTATTAATTGGCTAACTGTTTCGTGGTCTTTCAGGCAGAGATACAGTTAAATTATTACATTTTCTAAAATTACTTGACTGAAATGAACCAGCTGCTTGGCCATCACATTCAAATTAAGGGTTTTATCTGAGCAACCACTCACAGTTTTGATTATATATTGTATGAATGCACCGATAACCATGTTCAAAGTACAGTTTCAATTATTGTTGATTCTAATTTAATGAGTCAAAATGTACGAGCTTTGATTTGTCGGTTTCACCCAGCTCACTTCACAAGTGATGATTATTGAAAAATTAGGTCAAAGTTATAACCAAATGTAATAAACCTGCAATAAACATTACTCCTCTGTTCCAGGTCATGTCACCACTATAAATTAATCTGCAGAAACAAGGTTGTTTCTATGTTTCTGTCCACCCTCCGTATATAAAGTATGGTGTATGTAAAAACAAATAGAGCCTGGGTGAGCCAATGATAACCGATAGTGATGACCGACGGTGTCCCAAAGCAAGAAGACTTGTGGCGACCAGCAGAGAGATTAAAGCATTAGGGAGGAGAAGATACAGGGTGCCAGCTAATCCCAGGCCAGCTTGTCACTGGCCCAGCTGGAATCATGACACAAACAGAGATTCGTGGATATGGTCCGACAAACACCAAAAACACATAAAATGACGCCAAAGTCAAATGAGTATCTACACAGACACCACGTCCTGTATGATGGACACATTTGTAGAAACTCTGGACTTGATTGTTTAAATTAAACCTTCATTGGCTTCGATCAGACTTCACTCTCTGTAGTTCAAAGGACAATTACTCAAAGCAGGAGAAATCCCAAGGTGCACCAGAGCAGCCATCTTATCGGAGGTTCTTCCTGCTTCCTGTTTTTGCGGTCTTAGCCTGACTCCGGTTTCCTGGTCCTCCCCGTGTCACATGTCTCCTTCCTGTCCAAACACTTGACCAGAACAATACGGCTATGGCTCAAGAAGCAACCGGGATGGAGGATGGACGACAGATGGAAATATGCACTCGCCCTTTTCAAAA